TTTGCTGTTTTTTTTGGGGGGGGGGGGACGGGAGAGAGAGACGCAGAAGAGTTTTGATTGCTGCCCATCTGTTTCTTAATCGCGATTTTTTCCCCACGATAGTGTTTATTCTTAATGATTGGCATTGCGATTTTGTTTCACTGCTTTGGTGGCTCAAGAAACGGAGCGCAAAAGCGGCGCGCGGGGGCTTCCCCTCCTCCAAAAAATAAAATAAAGTGCAGTTCGTTTTCTCGCCCGGCTTTCCCTCTCTCCGAAAAAAAAAATCTGGAAAAGGGGGGGGGATATTAATTAATCGAAAGGAGACTTTTCCTGTTGTCCGCCTCGCTTCTCTTCCTCCCTCCCCCCCTCTCCAAAAATATATCCTTCGACCCTTTTCTTGGCTGCTGCTCCGCTGCGGAATTAAAACAAACTCGGGCGTCCCTTTCTGCATTTATTAAAGCAAATTGGGTGCTCCTAAAGCGTGCTCAAGTGGTCGCCGGGAAAGGTGGCAGGAAGGAGGGGAGCCACGCCGGCCGCGAAAAACACACAGGCGGGCCGAGGATTGGCGTGAAGTGGCTCTTCTGTGTAGCGAATGGAAGGGAAACAGTCCGGGGTGGAAAAAGAAAAGGGGATCAAAGGATTACCAAAATATTTGTACATCGTGATGGAGAATAATGACCGCGCGTCGGCAGCGGCGGCTGATGGTCCACTCTAGGCTTAGCCGTGGCTAATGAGGTATCACTCCGAGCGACTTCGAATTAGTGGCGCGTGATTCTTGATTAAACAGCCGCGCGAGGTCTGGGGCCGACTCTCTGCGTGCAGGGAACCGCGTCAAAAGGGGCAGAGGGACAAACAAACCGTCATTTCTTTTTTTAAAAAAAAGATTAATAGTAGTAGTATTAGTAGTATTATTTCTTTTATTCATTAAACATGAAACTCAAGTCAACTGACCATTTAAAATGTGTCACAAATACCATTGATGATGATGATGATTGTATACTTTATTCATTAAACATGAAACTTGGTCAACTGAACATTTAAAATATATCACAAATACCATTTATTGTTGTTGTTGTTATTATTATTATTATCATTATTATTATATACTTTATGTATCAAGCATGAAACTCAGTCAACTGAACATTCAATGTTTAATGAATGAAGTATATAATCATCATCATCAATGGTATTTGTGACACATTTTTAAATGTTCAGGTGATTGAGTTTTTTATTGTTATTATTGTTATTGTTAATATACTTTTATTCGTTAAACATGAAACTCAGTCAACTGAACATTTAAAAATGTGTCACAAATACCATTGATGATGATGATTGTATACTTCATTCGTTAAGCATGAAACTCAGTCAACTGAACATTCCATGTTTAATGAATAAAGTATACCATCATCATCATCAATGGTATTTGTGACACATTTTAAATGTTCAGTTGACTGAGATCATCATTATCATCATCATCATTACGCTCGATTAATCGGACAGACTTTCTCTATCTCAAAGGGGTGGAAAAATCGAGATTTCTCCTGGGTGTGGATGAAATGCACACACACACACACACAACACACACACACACACAAACAAACAACACGGGATAAATTTAACTCCGAAAGGAGGCTCTCCTTTAAAAATCCAGAAAGGAAGTTAGGCTCCGTTGGCGGTTTTTTAAATTTATTTTAATTGTGCGCTGATGGTATGGCCGTCCGTTTCAATTTTAGGAAAAAAAATGAAATTAAGAAAGTGAAGGCCGTTACGAAAATCTTAAATTTTAAGATTAGGGAAATCTTGATTTTAAACCGGAGCCGGGACAAAGAAAATTGTGCGCTTTTGCTAGTTGCCTAAAGTTAGGGGAAAAAACCAGGGCGAGGGAAGATTTCAGAGGGACAAGAAGATTCTTTTCAAATATTTGGGGGGGCGGCGGCGGAATTGTATCCGTATATTGGGGGAAAGCTTTTTCATTTCGTGTTTTGGGATGTCCAACTTCCCCACCGAACAAGGTGTTAGAAAAACAGCAACCAGATGTAAACGCTGGGTGCGCATCTGGAGGAAGGGGGCAAAAAAAACCCAAAGGAGAACCTTTATAAACCTTTATATTTAGGCGAAAAGCAGAGCGGGGGATGCTAAGGGAGAAGGCAATAAAACACCAGATACTTAACGGGCGTTTCTTAAATAAACCACACTTGGTTGAATTTGTGTCACACCCAGGACTGACACAAACCGAAGTGACACTAGGGTAGTGGAGGGACCCATGAAAAGGCAGTTTTACACACTCACATCAATTAAACTAGATAGTGGTCAGGGTATACACGCTGGTTTACTTAAAAGAGTGAGCATCTTGGACATAACAGCATTCAGCATCCTGGCATAAAGTGAGGCGAAGTAATGGTCCATAGTACAATCAGCCAAATGTTTAGACTGGATTCTGTCCACCTATTGAGTCCTTCCCAACAACCTGGAATATTATTATTGTTGTTATCATCATCATCATCATCATCATCATCATCAATGTTTGGCATTTTTGTCTACCTATCTAGTGGGGTAGGCAAATCTAGATGTTTGACGGTGTTGCAGGTATCGTCGCAGAATGGAAGCACTTATTATTATAAATAATATTATATCAATTATATTATATCAGATATTATATCAGATGTTCAGTTGACTTGAGTTTCATGTTTAATGAATAAAAGAGATAATAATGTTATAATAATACTAAGTAATAATAATGCCATATAGCAGATATTATTATTATATTATGACTTATTATGATGATTTATTATTATAACTAATAATATGTCATATTATATCAGATATTATTATATTATGACTTATGGCCAATAAAATGTCATTTTCGATCAGATATTATTTTTGACTTATTATTTTGATTCATTATTATTATTATTATTATTATTATTATTATTATGTGGTTAATCTTTCATGAGATTCACAGCCTTTGGGGCTGGATGGTAGTTCAACAGCTCGAGCCCTAACCAAGGACCTAGGAATTATTATTATTATTATTATTATTATTATTATTATTATTATTATTATTATTATTATTATTATTATTATTATTATTATTGGCTTATCATTGTAAGGGATCGCATGCCGAAAAGCTACTTGTGGCAGAAAGTTTTCACAATTTCCCCTTTTTAAATCTGTGATTGGGCATTTTAATTTTCCCAAAGAGATGTGGGGGGGTGGTTTTCATTGCAGGTTGCAAAACAAACAGAATCGGTCCCCCACCCCACCCCACCCCTTTTTCTTTGAAAGGGGAGATCTATTTTGCCACGTTTACGTTTCCACGCTCCCGTTTATTGATGCCGGTCCGTGGGTCCCGTGTTTGCGGTTTGCAAAAATTTAGCAAATCAACCAATTTACTTCTCCAACGCGTTTTTTGTTTTGTCCTGTTGTAGTCGATTCAGCGGCTGGATGTCCCCCCCCCACACACACACACACTGCGCACCGAACTACCAGCGTTGGTGGATTGGGCCCCCGCTGGCTAGCTCTGCGTTTCTCATGTGAGGATCCCTCAGACTCCACACGGCCGACTTTAACGGGATGCCGATATGAGATTTCTTCTCCAAAAACAGACTTCGGACAGACAGGAGAGACGTCCCCCCCCCCGCCCCCCTGTCCCCCGTGCAGCTCCTCCGGTGGGACACCCATGGAAAAAGAATGGCGGAATTGCCAGGACTCAGCCGTCGCACCCGGAGCGCCAACTCTTAAAAGCAGACTCTGGAAGGGGGCGGCATACACAAGAGTTTGTGGTGCGGGTGTCGTCCCGTCCCACCCCCCTCCTCTGTGTTTGGTAGGAAGAGGAGACCCCTGGGAGCAAGGAAGGGAGACATTCCCCCCCCCGCCGCCGCCGCCCAAGCCATTAATCAGGGGGCTTTTAATGACTGCAACTGCACAGCCCCACTTCATCCCCCAATTGTCTCTAATCCCCGTTCCCTCTAAGGAGGGAGAGGGAGGGAAAGAAAGGAGAGAGAGGGAGAGAGAGAGAGAGAAAGGAGAGAAAAAGAGAGGGGGGAAAGAAGAAAGAGAGAGGGAGAAAGGAGAGAGAAAGAACGAGAGAAAGGAGAGGGAGAGAGAGAGAAAGGAGAGAGAGAGAAAAAGAGAGAGAGAAAAAGAGAGGGAGAGAGAAAGAGAGAAGGGAGAGGGAGAGAGGGAGAAAGAGAGAGAGAAAGGAGAGAAAGAGAGAAAGGAGAGAGAAGAGAGAGGGGAGGGGTCTGCATCCACCTGGTACAACCAGTACTGGTTACTGGACTCCAACCGCCTGGACTCCTGGACTCCGTTCTGCCCTCCCAAAAAGATAATGCAAAGTGTGTGCGGGGCATGCAGAGACCGGGTGGGTGGGAAACACAGCTAGCAGAAACCGGGTAGCCAAACCAGGCAGGAGGGGAGGGGGGGCGTGTTCTGGAAATTTAAGCTGCCCCCTCTCATTTTCCCAAGGATTGGTGAGGACACAGCTGCTTCCTCGTGCCCCTTTTTCCTTTCTGGAGAATCCCTCCAAGGAGGAGCAGAGGGGAGAGGAGACCCCCCCACCCCATTTGTAGCTTTCCACCTGGAAGAGCTGACAAATACCCCACCCAGGTAAAAGTGGGCAGGGGGAAGCAAATGTTGGCTGCTCCCCAGGAGGGGGTCTTGCTTCTGTGTCCTTCACCATCAGCTTTGCCGCAAAATGATTGAGCTGCCATCGGAAGCCCACCGCCGAGAGGTGTTGTGGTCTTCAGAAGGAGGCTTCCCCCCCATGCAAGGGGGGGTGTCTCCGGGGTCTTGACTGGACCCCCTCCCCAATTCTCAGGCCAGAAGCTAAGCGAACAGAGCCATCTCCAACTGGAGAAGCAGCCTTTCCTTACCAATTTTCAACCTTAACAGATTTTGCCAAAGGGTTGGGGATGGTTGATGCGGTGTAGTCTAGCTCTAAGAAGGGGGCAGCCCTTGTTGACTGGGCAGGTGACGCCTTGACCTCCTTTTCCCCTTTCCTCCCCCCCCCCGCAGTCTCCACCCCGCTGGGCCAAGGGCGCGTCAACCAGCTTGGAGGCGTCTTCATCAATGGGCGCCCCCTGCCCAACCACATCCGCCATAAGATCGTAGAGATGGCGCACCACGGCATCCGGCCCTGTGTCATCTCTCGCCAACTGCGGGTCTCTCACGGCTGCGTCTCCAAGATCCTCTGCCGGTACCAAGAGACAGGATCCATCCGGCCGGGAGCCATCGGCGGCAGCAAGCCCAGGGTGAGTGAGGGAGGGAGAAGGACAATGACCCCAGGAGTTGAGCAGCCAGGTGAGGAGGGGGCCCTTCTGGATTTTGTGCCACTTCCTCGTCTTTGATTGGCAGGGAGAGTTGGAGAGTGGCCCTTGGAGGAAGATAAGCTCAGATGATGGAACAGCTTCCTGCCTCCATCCCATACGTTGCTAGCCAACCTTCTTGAGAAGTTGGCCTTCTAAGTTGAGCATGGAATGGACTTCCTGAGATCAAAACCAGCTTGGCAGTCCATTGGCAAACTGTAGAACTTGAATTTAAAAGTGCATTTTTGTTCTCTGCCTCCCTCCCTCCCTTTCTCCCTCCGTCCCTCCCTCTCTCTTTTCTTTCTTCTTCCTCTGTTTCTCCCTCTCTTCCTCTTCACCCTTCCTTCCTCTCTCTTTTCTCTGTTCTCCCTCAATTTCTTCCTCTCGTTCTCTTCCTCTTTCCTTCCTTCCTTCTTCTCTCTTTTCTCTGTTCTCCCTTAATTTATCCCTCTTTCCTTCCTTCCTTTTTTCTCTGCTCCCTCTGTTTCTCCCCCTTCTTCCTTCCTTCCTTCCTTCCTCTTTTCTCTATTCTCCCTCAATTTCTTCCTTTCTCTTCCTCTTTCCTTCCTTCCTTCCTCTCTCTTTCCACTGTTCTCCCTCCATCTCTTCCTCTTTCCCTCCTGCCTTTCTTCCTCACTCTTTTCTCTGTTCTCCCTCTGTTTCTCCCTCTCTTCCTCTTTCCTTCCTTCCTTCCTTCCTTCCTTCCTTCCTTCCTTCCTTCCTTCCTCTTGACCCCAAAAGCAGGTTGCCACTCCAGACGTGGAGAAAAAAATTGAGGAATACAAGCGAGAGAATCCTGGCATGTTTAGCTGGGAGATCCGAGATCGGCTACTCAAAGACGGTCACTGTGACAGGACCACGGTCCCTTCAGGTGAGAAGGAAGCCAGAGCACAAGAGTTAAGGCTTTTAAATTCTGTATTTCCTGGCTCACAGCTCCACAGTGGCCAACATCCTTCAGCTTAAAGAGGAAACCTTCTAACTGGACTTCACTTCGTTTAACCCAACTTTGTGACTTTAGCCAAGTCTAAACAAGCCACGAGAACTGGGTTTGCACCTCTGGAATTCCACTTTGTGTACTAACCCAAACCATATGTTTAATTTTGGGTAGGCTCAGGATATTGGGTTAATTGAAGATGTCAGGTAATGAGGATTTAATAGCTGCCAACTGATGTAAGGTTGTAAGCTGCAAGCTGATGCAATGAGGATGATTCAACAATACAGGTATCACAGATTTGGGCTGTACCATTTCAGCATGGGAAGAAGAATTTTCCTTTAGCCGTAGATTTTCTGGTGAGGTTCACATCCCTGGACCAAACT